AATTGACCTAAGAATGAGAGTTTAGATGTCCCATTTCAGGCTGAGCAAAAGGCAATGAGAACCCCTGCCATACACATACACCAGGGCCATGTTAGCCTGGGGTTGGATTTTCTCAGTATTCCTAGCAGAAGGGGACTGACTCCCTGAACTCCAGAGGTTCCTCACACTGCTGCATTTATAGAAGACCCTCAAATACCCTCTCTTGAGGCCTTTATATGGTTTGGGGTGGGGTGGGGAGGATGTTGGTAGTCAAGTAATGCCCACCAAGCAGTCTGAGGGGCTTGAGAACTTTGATAGAAGAGTCTGGCTTTTACTATCAACAGAGGCCCAGTGATCTAGTGTTCGGAAATACTTGTAACAATAATCAGGTGTTTCTCAGCTGGGCAGCAGGTTCCCATAACCTCATCCTGACTCACCTTACTCATCCCAGGTTCCTGGCCTGTGCCCTCTCCCCTTTCCAGGCCTCAAGGCCTGTCTTGTCCAGGGCTGGGGGCGGGGACCAGAAAATGATATAGATCAAAGTTATCAGTTGACCATTTCATGGACATATATACTGAAGAATCTTTTTGCAAAATGAATACCGCCCAGAATTGTTGTGGTATAATGAGGCCCCAAGAACGGTTTAGTTAACATACAAAGGCCAGGCATATAACAGATTTCAGGTAGGCATATAATTGGGCAATTTTAGGCCTATTTTATCTCTATTTCTGAGATGAGTAAACTGAGGCTTTGGTCAGTGTCTTGAAAGTCACAAGGCCAAGATTTGGATCCAGAACAGCCCAACTTCAAAATCCTGGACCACAGATTCTCAAACTTCAGTGTTTAAGTCACTAGCAGGAAATTTACTAAAATGCAGATTCCTGGCCCCATCCCAGGACCAACAGGCCTGGGTCAAAGCTGAGGAATCTGCATTCCACAAGCACTATAGGTAAATCTAAACCAGGTACCTTTCCAGCAGCACTTGGCCCTCCCTCTCCTCTCTAATCCAGGGACTTTGCAGCTGTCCCAAGATCTCAGGTAGCAGAGGTTGGGGGAAAGACCGAGCCCAATCCAAAGAATTTGAAGGATTTTGCAAATAACCTGAAGCCGGGGAGGAAGTGTAACACCGCAGGGCTTCTACGATGGCAGGTCCTATGCTACAACGAGGGCCAGGAGGGGACTTTGGGGAGGGGGTGCCTTGGGAGAGCGCTGGTTCCAAGGCCCAGCGGTATAGGGGTCAGCGGCTCAGCCACTCACACTCTCACCTGCCGCGAGGAGTGCCCAGGGTCCAGATTGGTCAATTAATATATCCGTCGCGGTCCCCAAATTCCGAGGACTTTCACTTTCTCACTTTCACAAAACCTAATATCCCCAAGCCAAATACCTGGCTAGGCCCTCCTCGCAAGGAGACCCGTTCCAAATGAGAGCGAGGAGGGCCCGGAAGTCCTCCGGCCCAGGCCCGTCACCTCCCAGTCGGAAGCAGCAGTGCAGGTGAGGGGCGGCCTCTCAGGCCACGGCGCGGGTGAGGGACGGGAGAGCGGACTGCAAAGCGAAGGAGACGGGGAGGGCTGCGCATGCCTCCCGTCGGGCTTCCTGCCCGGGTCGTGGCTCGCTGCCGTTCCCGTCACCATCGGGCACCTGCCGAGCACGTCTGGGCGGGGCTCTGGCCCTCAGACTCCCACCTCTCCTCGGCCTGGTTGGACGCTGCTCTCCGGCCGGCGGCGGCGTGGACACCGGGTCAGCGAAGGGTTAAGAAGGCTCGCTCTCCCCCTCGGCTCACTCACCCTTGGAAAGTCCCCGAAATGACGTTTCAACCCGACAATTAAAAAAAGAGTTTAATTATAGAGACAGGCTCTGGGAGCTGGAACAAACTCGGTCGGTCGGCGGGGCCGGTAAACAACTCCGGAGCGAGCGGGCCAGGCTGGCCGCCGCCCCGCGGAGCCGGCGCCCACGGGAGAGGGGGAGGGGAGCGCCCTCCGGGAGTTGGAAAAGCGGAGGAAATTCGAGGAATCTCTTTGGGGGGAAAAAGAAAACACAACTTTTTAGTTAGCCCGGGGCGCCGAGGCCTCGTGATGGTGCTCTGGCTGGTCGCGCAGCCGCGGGTAAAAGCGTCGCCCTCCCCCC